TGGAGCAGTGGGTGTGGTGCATAAACAGTGAATCTTAGAACACTAAAAAATTAAATTAAATTAAGATGTTAAAAAAAATAAAATAAATAATAAGTCTTAAAAAAATAAAAAGGGGGAAATTCTGCTGGTTGAAACAACGTGGATGAACCTGGAGGACATTATGTTAAATTAAATAAGCTAGACACAGAAAGACAAATACTGCATGAACTCACTTATATGTGGAATCTTAAATAGTCAAATGTTTGGGTGGCTCAGTTGGTTAAGGTCTGCCTTTGGCTCAGGTCATGATCCTGGGGTCCTGGTATGGAGCCCTGCATTAGTCTCCTTGCTCCCTGGGGATTCTGCTTCTCCCTGTCTTTCTGTCCTTCTCCCCCACTTATGTTCTCTCAATCCCTCTCTCTCTCAAAGAAATAAAATCTTAAAATAATGAAATAGTCAAACTTATAGAAGCAGAGAGTAAGTGGTGGTTACCAAGTGCTAGGAGAGGAGGAAATGAGGAGTACAACAATGTGCCTATAAGTAATAATCGTTCATTGTATATTAAAATTTGCTAAGAAGGAATATCTTGAGCGTTCTTAATACACACACACACAGAAGGAAAGAAAGAGGTAACTATCTGAGGTGATGAATATATTGATTAATTTGATTTTGGGAAATTATTTCACTGTGTGTATGTGTGTGCATATATATGTATATCAGATCATCAAATTAAATTAAATATATAAAAATTTTAATTGTCAAATGCACCTCAATTTTTATAGTTCACTTTAAAAAGAAAATTAGTTTCTTTCTGGTGGATAGACTAGATGAAATCTAACATTCTTTTCAATTTGAGAAGTTTATGATTCTAAGATTTAATTAAGCAGATGAGAAAACTGAAACTCAGAAGAGTTCAGTTGCTTTGCCTGAAGTCACAGTTTATTATTGCAGAATTGAGATTTCAGATCTCCTAACTCCTAATCCATGCTCCTGGAAGAACATCTTAAATTCTGACTAATTAATTATTTTCATTCTCTCTTCTAGTCCCCACCACTTGTGATTATGTAGTAGTCTAACACACAAGTGACATTAAGCCGGACAACTAGGTTGTGTAGGGCATCATATAGATTCACGTTGGCCAAATGATTCTCTAGCTCATGCATAGTGTTTTCATGGCTAATGATTTGCTCAGAATGAACACATTTTACACTTGTTGCCCTAGCATAATTACTAATAACGTCCCCTTTCACTGTTAAAGTGTCATGATTTGGATGCTATGGTTACCTTACCAATGGCCAGCCCAGCAGGCCCTAACATTTTGTAGTTACTAAACCTTGATGTATCAAAGCTGTTGAATTTAAGTTGCAGCAAAACCAGTGATTTTGTTATGTCTAAACATAGCCTTTCATCACATAAGCCATCCCAAACAAGATTCCTTTAAGGAAATGGATCTTTAGAAGATTTTGTGCCTTATGGGATGTTTCATCTGAGACTCATGCACTTTGCAGATACTTAATGCTATTAAGTTCTCACATTTGGATAGTGCTGTAGAGTTTACAAAATGCCTAGACTAACAAGACCTTCTTTAACTAATAGAAAAATAATTACTGTATCTATCTGGGTTTTGGGATTGTGCTGAGAGGGATTCAGGAGATTGAGGAAATAGTCTTAACTGCCCTAAAACAACAAAGAGTATGGTTGGATTGATGGTCTTTGTATGAATGTATTCACCTAAATATTTTAGAGGGGATAAAAATAAAACACAAAACCCAACAACCACACACTGAAAGCCTTAAGTTAAACTGTCTTCCTTAGCATTCAGAGATCAGTGGTTTGTATACATGCCAGTTTTTCATCTGTCTTCAAAATGGATTTTTAATCTGTGTCAACTATTAGAAAAACCTGTAATGATATACTGTATTAGTTTCCTAGGATTCCCATAGCAAATTACCCTAAACTGTGTGAATTAAAACAACAGAAACTTATTCTCTCACAGTTCTGGAATCAAGAAATCCAAAATCAAGGTGTCAGCAGAACCATGCTCTCTCTGAAGCCTCTAGGGGAAGATCCTTCTTTGCCTCTTCTTAGCTTCTGGTGTTTGTGTACAATCCTTGGCTTGTTGAACATATTATTCCAATCCCTGGCTCCATAATCACATGGTTGTCGCCTCTGTGTCTACATGCTCTGTATCTTCACATGGTGTTCTTCTCTGTGTGTGTAGCTGTGTCCAAAATTTCCTCTTATTATAAGGACACCAGTCACTGGATTAGGGCTATGTGTGGTCTAATTCAGTATGACCTCTTTTTAAATTGACTCTATCTGCAAAGACCTTATTTTCAAATAAGGTCACATTCACAGGTTCTGGGGAATAGGACTTGAACATATTTGGGGGAAAAACAGTCTATCCTATGTCCACACCCACAAAACTCACAGCCTTCCTACATGCAAAACACATTAATTCTTAGCTCAAAATCTTACCTTCTAAATAATCTAAACCAAGAATAGATGAGATTTTTTGTATGACCCATCTTGGGTAAAAGCTTCTCTCTATTCATGGACTTATAAAACCTAGAAAACAAGTTTTGTGCCTGCAAAATACAATGTTGTGACAGGCATAGTATAGACATTCCCCTTCTGAAAGAGAAGAAATGGAAGGAATACAAGGGTATTCCCAGGGTTGCTGAACTAAAGCAAACTGACAACCCCATAGAGCAAATTCTATTAGGTTTCCAGACCTCAGAATAATTCTCTGGTGGCTTGATATTCTTTCCTCTGGCCCTATTCTCTCAAGTTCACAGGGTTGGGAGCCCCCAACTCTAACCAAGGAAGTGGATCCAGGAATACAGTGGCCTCACCTCCAGGCCACCACTCTCTGGTTTCTGAACCACCCTCAGCATCCCTGCTGACCTCTGAGACCCCTTAGAGTCATTCTTCCATTTTGTTGAAGAATTATTCCATTTTGTTGAAGAATAATACATGTTCACAGCCAGGTAATTTTATCAGCTTGTTTTCTGCCTGTAGAATCCTCAAAATCTGACAGTCTTCATTTGGTCCCATGTCTGACCCTTTAGTCCAAGTTGGCAATTTTCTGCTGAGATAGTTTATTGGATCTGTGTGTCACACATCTAATCCCTCCAGCAAAATTTATCTAGCCACACTCTTAGGCTCTCTCCAGAGCACATTTTCTCATGTTTTGAAATATATATAGGCTAATAATTTTTCCAAATCTTCAAATTCTGGTGACTTTTTGCTTAATAGTTCTGGAATGGACTGAAACTTGCACATTCTAGGAGAGAACACTTGTCACTCTGTAATGAAATGATCTGCTTAAGAAGTTTTCTCCTCCACTAGACTATGAGCTCCCTAGAGGCAAGAACTTTGGATCATTTATCTCTACATCTCCAGTATCTAGCTTCATCAGTGACACAAAGTTGGCTCTTAGTAACTATTGGAAGAGGGAAGGAGGTTGGAAGGAAAGAAGGAACATATTTGTAGAGTTATAATTTAGTGATTTGGGAAATAGAAAGGTGCTGGGAGCTCCAACTGCCAAAGCCAAGACTATGTTAACTTCCTCAGGACTCTTCACCATCTACTCTGATTTTCTTGGGGCTTTGTCAGGGTCTAAGCATGAAAGAAACATTGCAGTCAGAAAGTGATCCCAGATCAGGTGAGCTTTCAGCTCATCAAAGTAGCTTTTCTTTCTGGAAGCTTCCTGGTCAATCCAGCTGCAGTTTAGCACATAGCTAGCATGCCAGAAGGGGTAAGGATGGAAAAGAGAGTGCCATATGTAGGCTAAAGTTTAGATGGCTAATTCCTGTAAATTGATCAAGGCTGAATACTTAATGTGCTAGAACCCTCAACAGCTCTCTTTCTCTCTCTCTAATGGACCACTATTGGCTGGCATCAGGGAGAATATATAGTTCTTTCTAAAGTCTTGTTGTGCCTTTATGCACCCTACCCATTATATTTTATAAATATAACCCATTACTTATTGCCAAGAATAAAAAGCTAAATGTGTACACCTATGTCTACACTTGAGAGGAAAGCAGAAAGGAAAAAAAATCAGACATTCACAGGAATTAGAGAAAAATTGAAATAGTCCCATGGAATGCACACACAGAACAAACTTGGGTGCTTTTGGTGCCCACCACTTCCTTTCTCCTTTCAACCCCAAACTGCTTTCCCCACAGTCATGAAAAGTTAGGCTGTGATAAACAAAAGCAACATTTACAGGCAGGTTAACAGTAAATGTCAAATTCATGAATTCATGAAATAGGGCGCCAAACAGGATATCATTTCATGAAGGCAAGGACTTTGTCTTTTTCATATATAGCTCCAATCCCTTGAAAGGTGCTAAGCACATAGTAGTTACTCAGTAAATATTTGTTTAATGAATTTTGAATGAATTAAATTTATTAACCAGGAAACTGCTATAGGTAGTCATAGTATAGCATTCAGGAAAAAATAAATTTTTCAACAAGAAGCCCCTGAGATGAAACTGTTGTGCAGGTAATGCACTACTCTGCTTACCTGGCAGCAGTAAGTCCAGGAAAGGGAATGTATATCTCCAGGAGATAGTTAAAGCATTCCTTAGCACAAAGTCAGAGATTTCCTGCCTCCTCCCTTTCTTTCCTGGCCAGATGACTTGGATTATCACTCTATTTCCAACTGACCACCTCCTTTAGCTGACTACTAAAAGAGAACCAAGGCCAAGGCTAGCCGAACTAATTTTGCTTAGACTAAATCAATACAGTGGTTTGGCCAAGCAGTACAGAGATCATTGTTCCTGTCTTCCACTCCAGTGACAAGATCTACCTTCCTGTTCTTTCTCCCTTTCCAAAACCACTGGAAAAAAATAGAGGTGGGAGATTTATTAGATATTGGCTCCAATATTTAGTCTTCCTCTTCACATGCTCTGACACTTAACTGGCCATTTTAGACTTAGAAGCAAATTTTCTGTCCTTCCCTAATATGTCTCTATAATTAACTCTCTATTCTCTCTTCTCTTTGATTTATTTTAGATACCTGCAGCAGAAAACAACCCTTTTCTTACTGGAATGCACTATTGGTACTCCAGTCACAGCTCCCGGACCCAGCACTGCAATGTCTGTCGGGAGAGCATTCCTGCCTTATCTAGAAATGTTATCATCTGTGAAGGTACCTCTCTGATTACTTTGGGAAATGAAGCCCAGTGGGTGGAGATAGGGGTGAAGGGGCTCATGTGGCTTTAGTGTCATTGATTCATACTAGGTCATTGACTCTAATGTAAGGTTAATTCTAATACTTAACAGACTGAAGAAGAGAGATGGGAAGAAGCTGGCATGAGAGGAAATTCTCATGAATTAATGGAGGGTTGGGTCTGAGAGAATTGGACAACATGGTTACAATAGTTGGGATAACAGAAATCACCTCATTCTTGCCATCAGTTTCCATTCAAGTCATATAGTAGGTAATTTAGCCAGTAAGAATAAAAAGGAACTAGATAATAGGAGAAATAGGCCTTTGGAGGTGGGTCAGGACTATTTAGATGCATCTAAGTTCTAACTTTCAGAGAAGCTTAGGGAAGGGCCTTATAATCTTGATTGTCACCAGATTCACATCCACCTTCTTTCTTCCTTTTTTCATAGTGTGCAAAGTAAAGTCTCACAAATTATGTGCTTTGAGAGCAAGCAAAGACTGCAAATGGAATACTTTGTCTATCACTGATGACCTCTTCATGCCTGCTGATGAAGTAGTGAGTACCAGCCTACAGCCAATCTTTCCCATCTCACCTTTAGCCAGGATACCCAGGGGAAGGAAGACTTCTTCCTGTCTCCATGCAACCCAAGTAGACTTCCTCCCTAGGCTTACAATCCAACCAATCTAGAAGAATGAAAGCCCTCTACTTCCAGCTGTCATCACTTGCTAGCATTGGAGTGAGGAGGGCAGGACCATGAATAACATTGTTGAGGTTACTTAATGTCCTCAATGGGGTAGTATAGTTACTCCAGTTGGCCCTTTCTCTCCTTATATCTCTAACTTTTACCTCTTATCTTTTTTTTTTAACTTTCAGAAGACTATGCCTCATCAGTGGGTAGAAGGAAACATATCTGTCAGTTCTCAGTGTGCAGTATGTCATGAGAACTGTGGCAGTTACCAAAGACTTCAAGATTTCCGATGTCTCTGGTGTAATTCTACGGTAAGTCTTCTCATCTCCTTGATACTTAGAGAACTTGACTTCTAGAGAAGGGGTGGAGTTAAGCTATGTGCCTACACATAGATAGAAATCTCAGAGACCCTTACCCCAAAATAGATTATGCAGCTTACATAGTATAGAGCTCAGTATCTTGGCTTTCCAGATATGGTTATGGACTCTTGGAGAGAAACACTTCACTCTCATCTTTAATGGTTCTTAATTGGTGAGGTCTACTAGCAAATGGGAAAAGCTGAACTATGTTATGACAGTACAGGAAATTTAAAAAAATATGTTGAGTCTATCCTTAAGAAACCTTCTCCCATCCTTATTCACTATTTCCTGGGGACTTATAATCTTTGTTAATTAATAATTGTTGATAATATTAACATATTACTCTTGCCACAATGTATTGAGTGTTTGTGTACATGGTCTCATTTAATCCTTATAACAATGCTAAACTAGGCCTCATTGTCCCCATTTACAGCTGAGAAAAGTGAGGTTCAGAAAAATGAAGTCATTTGCTCAAGGTCATGCAGCCAGGAAGCAAAGAGTCTTGATTCATACATAATTCTGAAAAAATCATATTCTTAACTACAATACTACCATGCTTCTAAACCAGTAGTTCTTAACTGAGGGTGATTTTGCTCAACCCACAGGAAACATTTGACAATATCTGGAGACATTTTTGATTGCTACAACTTGGGGAGAGAGGGTGTGCTATGGTCTTGTAGTAAGTAGAGTTCTGGGATTCTACTAAACCTCCTATAAAGCACAAGAGAGTGCAAAACAACTATCTAGTCCAAAATATCAATAGTATCAATGTCAAGAAACTCTGATTTAGACTTTAGCTTTTAGATGCTCCCATCAAAATAGTGCTCAAACTATTCTGGACAAGAAAAAACTGAAGTATGAGCTTCTTTTTAGAAGACTCTGCGTCCCTCTACCTTGCTCCAGTTCATTAGTTTCTCCTGAAAAGGAGCTTGTGCCATCATCAGGCATTCAAATTCTTGCAGCTGTCCCCAAGGAACACCTCTAGATCACATGGATCTAGTGGTCAGTGAGTGTATGTCCCAAGAACTGTAACCAATGGAGAAAGAGTTCTTACCTAGCTACTATGCACAGGGTTCAGAAAGGGGTAACAATCTGAGGAATCCAGTGTTACTGTAGAAGAGAACATTTAGCATATCTTCATAATTATGGCCTTCACAATTAGGGCAAGCTTCTAATTAAAAACACATCTAAATGTCCACTGTCATACTTTTTAGAGACCTAGGATAGAAACCATCTTTGTGCTCTCCCTCTGCCACACTCCAAAGTGCCAGTATCTCCAAGAGGGGAAATTTTACATGCATCTGGTATGCCTGGGGTTTTTTGTTTGTTTGTTTGTTTGTTTGTCTGTTTGAAGCTGCTGCCCAGGTGGTCCCCCTTTATTGCCTAGCTCTGCTAGCCAGCAGGGCTTTCATTCCCGGGTCCTATGGGACTATAACAAATGGAGAGAGGGTTCCTGGCCAACTACCATAAACAGGGAACACAAAACAGCAGGCTGAAAAGAGGCCTATTTGTTTGTCCAGGAGTTTCACCCTGAAGAGCAAGCTTCTGGTTCAACACACATCTAGGAGCCTACTAAGATGTTCTCTGAGAATGAAAGCCAGTGGGTGTCATTTGCACTCTCCCTCTGACTTGCTCCATGTTGCCAGTACCACCCAAAAAGGAGCTTGCACACTTCACTAGCACACCAATATTTGCAACTGCCATACAGGGAACAAGTCTAAGTCTCCCAGCTCTGGTGGCCACTGGGACATATATCTGCAGTCCCACAGGACTATATGTATTTGCATAATTCAAAAGCTGTTTAAGGATCTGGCTTTTAATCACCTGAATTAGGTGCTGATTGATATCCTCCCCTTTGGGACACTGACATGTTTTGGCACACCCTCAATTACTGGGAGTCACTAGAAATAAAATAGCCTCTTCAGACAATCACAAAAATTTGAGAGAAAACCAAGAGTTAAGGCAGGAGTGAATAATAAGGTCCAGCCCCTACACAAGGCCACACCCTCTAGGCTGAGAGAGGTAGCTATTTAATTGATAGAAATCAATGCAGACTACTGGGTATTTACCCCAAAGATAAAGATGTAGTGAAAAGAAGGGCCATCTGTACCCCAATGTTTATAGCAGCAATGGCCACGGTCGCCAAACTGTGGAAAGAACCAAGATGCCCTTCAATGGACGAATGTGTAAGGAAGATGTGGTCCATATACACTATGGAGTATTATGCCTCCATCAGAAAGGATGAATACTCAACTTTTGTAGCAACATGGATGGGACTGGAAGAGATTATGCTGAGTGAAATAAGTCAAGCAGAAAGAGTCAAGTATCATATGGTTTCACTTATTTGTGGAGCATAACAAATAACATGGAGGACATAGGGAGATGGAGAGGAGAAGGGAGTTGAGGGAAATTGGAAGGGGAGGTGAACCATGAGAGACTATGGACTCTGAAAAACAATCTGAGTGTTTTGAAGGGGCGGGGGGTGGGAGCTTGGGAGAGCCAGGTGGTGGGTATTAAGGAGGGCATGTATTGCATGGAGCACTGTGTGTGGTGCAAAAACAATGAATTCTGTTACGCTGAAAAGAAATTATGTATATATATTATATATATATATATATATAATATATATATATATAATATATATATAAAATCTTTTTTAAAAAAAGAAGAAGAAGGCCTTTCCCAACCGAAGATAATAAAAATATTCAAGCATAAAAAACCAAAAACAAAAACAAAAAACACAAGATAACGCCTCAGAAAAAAGTACTTAATGAAATATAGAAGGGTTATTTACCTGATAAAGTTCAAAATAGGGGTACTTGGGTGGTTAAGTCAGTTAAGCCTCTGCTGTCAGCTCAGGTCTTGATCCCATGGTCCTGGAATTGAGGCCCATGTTTTGCTCCCTGCTCAGTGGGGAGTCTGTTTCTTCCTCTGCCCTCCCTATGTTCATGTTGTGCTCTCTCTCTCTTTCAAATAAATAAACAAAATCTTTTTTAAAAAGTTCAACATAATGGCCATAAACATACTCACCAAGCTCAGGAGAAGGATGGATGAACACAGTGAGAACTTCAATGAAGAGATAGAAAATATAAAAATGGAGAAGAAACAAATAAATGGAAAAATATTTTGTGCTCATGAAATGGAAAAATTAATATTGTTAAAATGTCCATACTGCCCAACCCATAAATCTATAGATTTATAGATTTAATGCTATCTCCATCAAAATTTCAATGGCATTTTTCACAGAACAAGAACAAGTAATCCCAAAATTTGTACGGAACCATAAAAGACCCCCAAATAGCCAAAGCATCTTCAGAAAGGTAAAAGAAGTGAGAGACATCATGCTCCGTGATTTCAAACTATATTACAAATCTTATAGTAATCAAAACAGTATGTTACTGGCAGAAAAACAGACTCATAGGTCAATGGAATAGAATATAGAACCCAGAAATAAACCTATTCATATAGGGTCAATTAATTTATGAAAAAGCCAAGAATATACAATGGGGAAAAGACAGTCTCTTCAATAAACAGTGTTGGGAAAACTGGATGACCACATGTGAAATAATGAAACCAGACCACTATTTTACACCACTCACAAAAAATTAACTCGAAATAGATTGCTGACTTGAACATAAGACCTAAAACCATAAAACTCCTAGAAGATAACATGAGCAGTACGATATTTGGTATTTGTCTTGGCTATGATATTTTTGTATTTGATACCATAAACAAAGGAAACAAAAGGTAAAATAAATATGTGACTACACTTCTGGGTACTTATCCAAAGAAAATGAAAACACTAATTTGAAAAAAATCTATGCACCAATTTATGTGTGCATATCTAATAATAAAATTTTACCTAGTTAAAAAAAATCTATGCACCAAATTGCACCACCGTGTTATTTACAATAGTCAAGATATGGAAACAACTGAAGTATCCATGGACAGATGAATGGATAAGAAAATGTGATGTATATAATAATGGAATATTATTCAGCAATAAAAAAATAAAATCTTGCCATTTGCAACAACATGAGTGGACCTGGAGGGCATTTTGCTAAGTGAAGTAAGTCAGAAAGACAAATACCATATGATCTCACTTATATGTGGAACCTTAAAAAAAAATAAACAAACACCAAACTCATAGATATAGAGAACAGATTGGTAGTTGCCAAAGTGAGGATTGGATGAAATGCATAAGAGGGGGATTATTTTTTTAGCCACTGTATAGTACAGCATTACTTTTTGATGTAGTGTTCAATGATTCATTAGTTGCATAATAACGCCCAGTGCTCATCACAACACATTCCTTCCTTAATACTCATCACACCCCATCCCCTACACCCCTTCCCCTCAGAAACCCTCAGTTTGTTTCCCAGAGTCCATAGTCTCTCATGGTTTGTCTCCCTCTCTGATTTCTCTCCCTTCAGATTTCTCTCCCTTCCCCTATGGTCTTTCCTGCTATTGCTTATGTTCCATATATGGGTGAAACCATATGATAATTATCTTTCTCTGCTTGACTTATTTCACTTAGCATAATCCCCCCAGTTCCATCCATGTCAATGCAAATGGTGGGTATTCATCCTTTCTGATGACTGAATAATATTCTATTGTATATATGTACCATATCTTTTTATCTATTCATCTGTTGAAGGGCATCTCGGCTCCTTCTGCAGTTTGGCTATTGTGGACATTACTTCTGTGAACATTGGGGTGCAGTGCCCTTTGTTTTCACTACATCTGTATCTTTGGGGTAAATACCTAGTAGTGCAATTGCTGGGTTGTAGGGTAGCTCTATTCTTAACATCTAGAGGAAGCTCCATTCTGTTTTCCAGAGTGGCTGCACCAGCTTGCATTCCCACCAACAGTGTAAGAAGATTCCCCTTTTTCCACATCCTGGCCAACACTTGCCATTTCCTGTTTTGTTAATTTTTGCCATTCTAACTGGA